ATTATAAAACCCAAATACTACTAAACCTGAATATTTAGTTCGAGTTCCAAATACTTCTTGATATAGTAAGTTAATAGCAGTTGAAGGCGTATCTTGTATGTCACCAATTTTTTCCCCAACTGAACATAAAAAACCTGGTTGTAGGGGATTTGAGGGTCTATTAACAATAGATAAAATAAATTCATAACCATTTATTTGAGTTGTTAAGTTCATATAAAGGCGAAAAAGAAGAGTTAATATGTTATTATTTAAAATTTTTAAATCTTGAATCCACCAATCTCGAACATATGGTCCGTAATGGAGATTTGAGTTTATTTGTCCTTTATTTATAAGTCGTACTTTGTATTTTTTACTTTTTGACATTTTTAATGAAACGATCTTTTGAGATTCTACTAATATGAAATTTTTACTATTAAATACCCATCATATATAACTATTAAATGTCGATCATTTTTTACCCTTTAGTTGCGATTTTCTATTTAAATTTTATTTATAAATAGTAGTTTTCATAATTCTTTTAGAACTCTAAAGTTTAAAAAACTCAAAAAAAACTAAAAGAACTACAAAAACTGCTAATTTCTTTAAAAGTAATAGCTCTTAACTTTTTTACTATTATAAGCTTCCTTTGATATATTTGTATTTTAGTTTTTTAAAGTATATATTTTAAAAGCTAAAGTATATTAACTATAAATAGATATAATATATTGCATCTCATTTAATAATAATATATATTTAATATACAGTATCTTTTTTAATATCCTATTTGACAAATGCAAATAATCATTATCAGATTATATAATTTTTAGCTTTAGCTATTTCTAGTATTAGCTGTAACAAGTATTTTTACTTTAGTATTTCTAAATATCTCTATATTTATATCTTTATATATAGTATCTCTGTACAAATATCTTTATACTATATATTTTTATATAATTATCTCTATATATTTTTATACAATTATTTCTATATGCCTCTATACAAATATTTTTAGCTATTTTTACAATATTTTTAACTATTTTTATGTCTATTTTTATATTATTTAGCATATTTTTTATATCTCTTATATATAAAAAAGCTATAAAAAAAACTTTTTTTCTTTTACTTAAGTTAAAATTTTTTACTCTTTTATAAAGTCTAGCTTTATTTTTTTACTATCTTTATAATTATATTTTTTTCTAGAGTAATTTTTATAAACATAATTACAGTATTACTATAAATTTGTTAGTTAATAAAGTACTATTATTATATTTATAAGCTTAAACTATTTGCATCTTGCTATAAAATAAAAGTATATATTTTATATCTACATTGTATATATTTTATAAAGTATACTATTAACCAAATAACCTTGTTATTTTGCTATATTTATATTAAGAAAGTTTTAATATTATAACAATATATAACTCTATATATACTGTAGTTGGGTTGCAAATACAAATAGCTAATATAAAACCTTCTAGCAGATTATTTAAATTAGATACCAAAAGTGTATATATAGCTAATTGTATTTTTATTATAATTGTAATATTACTTATTATTTAATAAAAAATTATTAACCAAAAAATTAAAAATTAAAAAAAAAAATTGCTAAATTTTTATAAATATTTAAATTATTCTTATTATTAATTCTAATTCTTTTGCTTTTTTAAACAAAGATTACAAGAAGTTTAAAAATTAATTAGTTAAAACAATTTAAATATAATATAAAAAACAAAAAAAATAAAATTTTAAAACAAGTTAGCAAGTTTAAAAATATAATTACAATAATATACAAGTTGTTTAGCTACTTTAGAGCTATTTGTATTTTATTATTTTTGTAGTTTGTTTATTTTACAAAGTTTTAGCCCAAGGCTTTTATATATTTTAACTAAATTTACAAATAAATATTTCTTTTTATATGCTTTTTTTGCTAATTAAACACTATATAAAGATTATTTAAGATATTATATTAGCAACAAAATTAAATCTTTTTATTTAACAATTTGAAAAAAATATTTAGCTAATATTTTATTTACTTTTTTTAAAAAAGTTTATTATAAAAAATCAAATAAAATTAATTAAATTTAATGCTTTATATTAACTATTTATGTATTATTTAATATCAAATAAATAAAGCAAAAGCCCACAGCAAATATGGTTACAAAAAAGCATTGTATAGTCAATCAAATTTGTAAAATAGTACAGAAATTATTAGTAATTTATCTACATTATGCGATTTTTAATTTACAAATTTGTTAATAATCAATATAAAGCTACTTGGCTTTAAATAACCTAATTTGATAAAATCTCCAACTAAACTAATAACGACAAAATTATTAAAAAAAAATCAAAAGAAAAAATATACAGATTACTTTTCATAGTAATTATGTAATAAATTATTTTATAATAGCAAATTAATTGTATCTATATGTTATTTATATTGTACTACCTAAAAAGTCTTGTACTACCTAAGAAAATTTACTAGCACAGTAAAAAAGGGTTTGTTATATAATATTCCCTACCTTTAAATCTTCTAATTTACCCTCAAAATATTACTTCATCAAATTCAATTTTAAACGTTTTTATTATTTCTATCCTATGTTGAACTTCCTCTTCAACTTCCATGAAACATTGAGGCATCTTAACTAATTCACCCACCTCTTCACCAAAATTTCTCGATGTATACTTGATCCAATCACTAATTACCGCTGATTTTTTACTTTTGATTATTGCATTTGAAATATCAATCCTTTTTTTATGATTATTTTCATTTACTTCTTTCCAATCTTTAAAGAACACATATCCATTCAGATGATGAATTGCCAACCAATACATGAATGGTGTTTTTTCGCGTGTAACCTTGCAATGAATGACTGCTCCAACATATGCTAGTAACATACTCGTATTAGATTCTAAAGGCCAAAAATATGAATTTAATGGTTCCAAACATATCACATCCTTATATTCAATTCCAATGGTTCCCAGAATATCATACAAATCACTCCATACACGATGCTTAAAGTCAACGGAATAGGTTGATGATAATGGCAGAATTAACAATTGCGCAAAAGATTTGTTACCGTATGATCCAGCAGCATAAGCTGCAGAAAAATCTGTAAAAAATTGATAAAATGGTACTACAAGAACTTCTGTTGTATCTTCCAGAACTTGCTTAGTAAATTTAATATTATCAGCAGAGGATTGCTGAAAAGTGAATGATGAAATAATTTTTTCAATCCGTTGTTCAATGTCGGGCATTCTATATATTTCGCCATCCAACATGAATATTTTCATAATGGATATTATAATTATAATAGGGTCCATAATATATTTAGCAATTGAAAAACTCGTAATATTCTTGCATATGTTCATCACTTCGCACACTAAGGTCAAACAACTTCGTGTAATTTCAGTCCGAACTTCAGTTTCCATTACTAGATCTGATTTCTTAGAATAAAGAACATCAACTGGTGTCCATATCCAATTCTTTGACAACGGCAACCCGTCTAAAGCTCCGTAATTCCATAGCAAAGTATTATTCTCTTGATTATTATTATTTGTAACAATCCGATGTTCATAAAATGTCATGAGTATGTTGATACACTCACTCATAGAAGCGTCAGGTGACCTTGAACATATTCCGTCCACTATTCGGCCTAGAACATCTAAAGCCATTTTTTCATCCCCGGGTAAAATATTAGGCATTATTATTAAAGCGTCATGTAATAAATTCATTAAATTTTGTGCTTTTATTTCATTTGTTCCTATATTATCAATAAGCACACTGATAACAATCATCAATTCATAAAGCAAATAAATATGCATTTTGTTGAAGAAATCAAGCCAATCGTCTTTCACTGGATTTTTTACCGCATATAGTTGTAACGGCTCAATTGGTATACTTAGTTTGATCATCTCAAATGCTTTTAGTGAAAATTTATTGTCGCTAGAAAGCAATTGGCACGTTTGACAAATCAAAGAAACGTATGACAAGTATGTATCATATATTATTGAAATTGAGAGGGATTCAGAAATATATTTAAAAGTAGATGGATGATATGCACCCGATAAATTTGATATCTGCCAAATATCATCTCTTGATACTTTTTGTGTATTTTGTATCCAATTAATTAATTGATCCCGTAAATAATTGCAAAGATGAGACGAAGGCCAAGATGCAAGGCACAGTTTTTCCCAAATCCTCTGTATTTCACTAATGTCTTTCAAATTATGTTCGCCCAAATACTTAAACCACGCAGCAATATATTTTGTAACACTAGATATCAGATTTAATGCCTTTTCATAATCTTCGTGAATATCCTTATTTTGTGATAAAAGAGTGGAGGAAAATGTGTTCATCCAATTTGCCAAGAAATCAACTGAGTCTCTTATAATCTCGCTCGGTTGTGCCCCACATTCTTTAATAATGCCTGGTTCTGTATCTTGAACACGGATCCAAATTTCCAAAAGCCTGAAGAATGATATCGCTATTCCCAGCTTTTGTCGCATTTGATAATCGTCACTATTTTTCCACTCCCATGGAGGAGTAAGCGAATATAATATTTCTCTCACTAAATACCAATTTACAATACCATAAGTTTGTGAAAATATTTCGTGATAAAGTCCATATGTAGCAAGGGTTTGGTATATGCACAATGTTTCTTGGAAAAAGTTGTATCCAATGGCCATTTCAAATTCATTAGAAAATGATGCTGGATTGATTGCAACATATCTCAGAAAAGTGTTCATATACCTATTTATAAGTTCTTTACTGATTTTCTTTGAGGACTGACACAGTACGTGAATGAGCTTAGCAACCATTAAGTTCGGATATCTGGGCCCATTTGATGAGTCATTAATAGGTGGCCAAGCTACGCATAAATATTTTTTATGAAGAAAATCTAATAATTGATGACATTCAAATATAATTTTTGCAGTTTTTCGCGAATGACGCGCAAAGCGAACAAACATAAGCAAGATTTTTTCGTTTGTGACGCGAGGAAGGTTAGCTGATTCCAAAAGATATAATAATCGATGAGTGATGTCCATCGAAATAAGCCCTGCAATTAGATCTTTTGACGCAAGTTCAGCATGAGTCTCCATTGTATCATATTCTCCCTCAGCTTCATAATCACTAATCTCAATTCCAAAATATTTTTTTGTTTGCGCATTATTTTTCCCCCCAAGGGAAACAAATTCACATCCACGATATAATCTACTAGCTCTCTCCCAGAGTTTCTCTTCTTGATAAAATTCTTTTGACCCGCCAATAATCCAAGCAGACATTGTATTAACAGCTGCTAATATTACTGTCTCAGATTTATCATCTAATGCGATCCGTAAATAAGTCGGAAGCTTTAATTTAATTGCCCAATCTATAATCCCTCTCCCAGTTTCAACACCATAATAACCTACTCTAACCTTCCTTATAATTCTTTCAATAACATTTAAAGGAATTGTTCTTTG